TATTAATTTTACTGATTGTTATAATGAGCATTCAATATTCTTTATAAAGTATAAACAAGTCCCGTTTTCATATGTTTGAGCAAGATAATGTCAATAATAAAGTATCGTGAAGCGCAAGAGATCAGAAAATATATTAAATTTTATCAGGAGAGGATAAATAAAAAGATAAAGATCCATTACGCAAGGGTTAGCTCAGGTAAACAGAAAGAGGCAATGCGAGTACCTCAGGCAGAAATCAAGTTAGATTATCAAGTATTTAATATTTTCTTTAAATTATATTTAAATTAATCAAGCCCAAATTATTATTATTATCATTGATATGGATTTCAACATTAATTTAAATTAATCTTTATTGCATTTCTTATTAAATACGTAATTATTTATAAAATCAAGCATATTTTCACTACGCGAAATAAGAATAGTATTATACTAAACCTGCCTCGATGTTGATATAGAAATATCATCGTTGTTACGCGCTGTTGCGGTGTTGTAAATAATAAGTAGTGAAAAAGGCTTTTAAATATTAAACAATGTGTTAAAATTATGCCATTTTTAATGTAGTCGAATTTCGCGTTTGCATACCAGTTTAATATGTTAGAAATACTGATATGTTCATGCAAAATCAAAATTTTCAAGTGCAAACGCAAGCCATCATCTAAATTGTGTTGATCTAAAAAGTGAATATTATTGAATAATAAAGATAAAAGGTGTTACAGTGTTCTTAATACTGACTCTGCAATTAAAATAATTGATCCCATAGTATAACAAACCTATACACAAGACATGTACAATTATGAATATATTGATAGACTCACGAAATAATTTTAGCTCGTTCATCATACACAAATTCCAAAAAAAAAAAAATAATACCTCTTCAAAGGAAATTTTTTATTTTTAATAACTCCGAAAACAAAATTTTTTCAAAGAAAAGAACAATAATCCAAAATAAAGTGAATATACAAGAATTTGATTTGTATTGATTAATCAATTTAGTCACTTGCCCCTACGCCTCATTCCTCCTTAACTTTCGCTTCACCGAAAGTTTTTTCGGTCAAATATAGAATACTGTTCACAAAAATGCTAGCAATCGACCAAATAAACCACATAACAACGAAAACAACAACTAGAACTCCCATTATAAGTGCCCCAAACACATCCAAGTACCTTCCTCTAATGAATCCCATCCGAACGTCCGGTGTAATTAATTCTTGTAGATAATCATTTGCATAGGCTGAATATCCGCTGTTTCCATTTCCACTTTTACTTTGTCTAAAATTGTTCGATTTATTTTTATTACTATTATTATTTTTCTTGTTATTTTTTTTATTCTTGTTATTAATACTTTTTTTATCGCCAATGGATTCATCATCCCCTCCGTCTGTCCCAGAACTCTCTGCCACAAAAGTATCATCATTATTCACCACGCCTTCCTCTTCCTCAACATACTCATCTTTATTGTTCAACTGCGAAGCCAACAACAAAAACTCGATGAGATCTGCCGCCCGGTACTTTCGTTTGCTATTAATTCTAGCCAGCACCTGCATCCTTCGAACATTCACCTGTATACTCTCATCAGCTTGAAGTTTCTTGATTTTGGAGTGGATATCTTGTACGCTCAGATCTAATTTCGAAACCGCTAGCGCGACGCCTGCACTTTCCAGCTTTTCGGCGTTACCCATTTGATCAAACGCAATAGGTAGCAACAGCATCGGCTTCGCAGCGTAAATAGATTCGTGAGAACTACCCGCACCGCCATGTGAAAAGAATAATTTAACATTGGTCTGATTTAACAATGCAAATTGTGGTGCGAAATTCGTGACGTGGATATGGGGATGTTTGTTTTGCAAGATGTTGGAGCTCTCGAGAATCGTACCATTGGAAAGGGAAATATTGCTCGGAACATCTTCGTGATATATTTTAACAAGTGACCATATTACTCCATCAATTATACCTTGGTCAATGGCTTCGACAAAGGAACTTAGC